GTAAGAACAGCTCTGGCACAGTTGTTATTGCCGAATTCCTCCTCCAGAAACACATTTCACTTCATTTTTCTGCCATGGCATTTTCTTTTTTGCCTGTCCCCCTAATGCGTTGGTGACTGTGCGGCCCCAGCAGCCTCCTGGGAGGTCGCCTCAACTGTGCTTGGAAGAGGCTCAATTTGCTAGGCTGTGCATTTGCAAGTTGCTCCTTTGGCCCGCCTTGTTTGTTTTTATGTATGACCTTACGGATCTCAGGAACATTTTTATTTTACTCGTTCGTATACAACCTCAGCTTCTCAGAGGATGACTTATTGATTTTAATAATGCCTTTTACCCTGCTGGTTTGGTATGTTGGCTTCCCCTCTGCAGCCCTTACTCTGAGCTTCCAAAATCTGTTTGTTTTCCTAGTTTCCATGCCGCCTGCAAGAATTTTGCTCTTCTGACTTCCCACTTGGGTGTTTGTTGTATATATGCTGTATGGGAAACATTCCTATATATTGCACGTAGATACTCCAAAAACACTCCAAGTGCGAGAAGAAAACATGACCCTCAAGAGGAGGTGGTCACAGGTTCAGATGTTTCTGGAGTGGCATTGGCAGGATTTAGACCCTGAGGTGTCAGTGTAGCTTTTGTGATTGTGGTTTTAGAGCTTAACAGCATAAATGTTTCATTAAAGCTACGCAGTAAAGTGCACCACCGTGTGTGTTTGCAAGGCAGGAGCTGCCGAAGTGCTTAGCTGAGAGCTGCGCCTTTCCCTCTCAAAAGTCTCATCTGAAGCATGTTAGTGCGAACATTTCCCCTGGTTGTATATCTATGTACTGTGTGCTTATGTAGAAGTTACAGAAATACTATAGTAAAACCTTAAAATAATTAATTATCTCAAGGTATTTCTGGGAGGGAGCAGAGATACAGAGTGCTGGTGTCCCTTCTGGGGCTGTTGGGATTCTGGATCAGAAACTGAAATAATTTCTCAAGCAAGAGCAGAAGCAGCATGTGACTGGTACAGCTTGACTGTTTACAATCAAAAACTGGATTTCACCTAAGTCCGGTGTTTTGTTCTGCAGGAAGTGTTGCTTGTGCATCCTGTCTACACAGCCTCTAATCAAGGTATCGAGGTATCAAATCAAAGTATCAAGGTGTTTTTTAAGATACCAGAGAATAAATCAGGGGAAGCCTTTGATACTGCTTTGTCATACTGTTGTGACACAAGGTTTACAGCTTTTTCTGTTGAACAAATAAGCTGGAAGCTATAAAAACGATTCACTTTCAGGTTACTTAATTTAAAAAAAATAAAGTTGTTTAATGTACATAATCTATATCAAAAAAAGAATCAGACTATATTTTTCCCATGCAATAATGACAAAAGCTGCTGTACTGTCCTTCAGATTTGCTTTGGCAACTATAAGCTAGCTCCATTTTATTAAACAGCTCTCTTTCCTCCTAATATATACAGAAATGTTTGCAGTATAAACATCTTAACTAGACATCTGCTTTTCCCCAGATATAAAACACAGTTAACTTTTTGCCCTGTTTCTCTTCGCTGGGGCTGATAACTTTTTTCTGCTGGCCAGATGAGATAAAATTGTTGTGTTGTTTTTTTGGTTTTTTTGTTGTTATTGGTTTTTTTTTTTACCAGATGCAGCACAGTTCAGTTTTGCATTATGCAGGTGTTCCCCCAGCTGGGAAATGTGGAAACGTGCCATTTTGCTGAGATGATGGTGAGGTTTAGAAATGTGAGGGCGTTAAAAATAATTCTCTGTGTTAACAGTGGGTTTTGTCCCTGGTGGGCTCCATATGCTGAACAGCTGACTGGTGCAGCAGCTGTTCTATATTTTAATAGGAAAGTTATAAAGTTAGAAACATGGATGATCATTCAAAACATAAGCAACTCTTTGTAGCCATGGAAACGGGATTCAACAATAAACTTGCATTTGTGAGCCTTCCAAACAAAATAATCCCACTGCACTGTGTTCAGGTGGTCTCAGGGAAGTGAATGAACTTGCATTCTGCTTCTTTAATTTCTGCTTACTCAAAGTCCTATTTCTTTTTTTTTCCACTTTTTTCCCCCCTGTTTTCTATTTCTGAGAAGATACTCAGCTTTGCATGGGATCCTGATTTAGATTCTTCTCCAGCAGTGACAGGGATTTATATGAGAACCTTTCCTGGTCCCAACCTGGCAATGGTTGTGCCAGTGGGATATAACTAATGCTGAGCAAACGCTTTGCTCTCATATCATTTGTTGGGATTTCAGTGTCTCTTTTAACCCAAATAGCTATTCAAACTCTTGTTGTGTGTTTGCTGCAGCTCTATATCCTTTGCAAGTAACACATCAAGCCCTGCTTTCCTGGAGAACTGGATGAACTTGCAGGTTTCCTCCTAACAGTAGGCAGGTTTTAGGGTGGTGGTGTGCAAAAGCTGTCCCTGTTCCAGCTCTGGAACCATCTTCTCAGTTTGATCGTGGGCTTCTTTTGGCCACTCTCACTTGCCACACCCCTATCCAAAACAATACCAACCGCCTCCTTCCAATTTCTGCACGGCCCTGCTCTAGTCCCTGGCTTGCTCTCACCTGCTTGTGTTTTGGTTTGGAGGGGCTGCTGTTATTTCAGCTCCCCGCTTCCATAAAAGCGCCGTGATTAATGTCGCACACAGAGAGCGGTGCCCACACCCAGCGGCTGCGTTCAGGTCTCGCCCAACCCGTAGCGGTGTGACGGCAAGCGGCTGGAGCTGCGCTTCCGTGTGATAACCTCGGCCCGGGCTAGTTGGGGCTATAAGTGGTCTCCTATAGACCTGCATGTTGCAGCCAGCCAGGGAGCTGGGTGGTTGGCAGGACTGTTTGTGTGAAAATAAAATGGGATAAGCCAAGTTGATGAGCACAGTGAGATGTGGAGGAATGAGGGGACTAAACGTGTTTTGGGCACTTGTGCAAGCTACAACTGCCTCTGCTGTTCATGCCATTTGATCAGTATAGAACTAATTTTTCTCACTATATAATAGTCATTTTTGGGTCATTGTCAGATAAGCAGAGATTTAAAAGGAGGATTTAAAAATGCTGGTGACAAAACCAGTGTGAGTATTGGCAGAACATAAAGGTAGAGCAAATCCCTGAGGCAGAGCCTGGCAGCTTGGGGTTGTCAGGGATGATTCGTGGCTGCTTAACTTGTTGCAGGGACCAGCCTGGTGTCCTGCAAGTGCCAGGACTGAAGAGGGTGAAGCCACTTCAGCCTCTTCTGGGCACCTGTCAAGAGAAAACTGCCCATTTTAAACCTAGAAACAGCAACGAATGCCGAGTTACACAGTTGGGGAAGTTAGAAGAAGTCTGCATAAAAGAGCAGTGCTGGGGCCAGCACGGCTCATTTGTGAGGGCAGATTACCCAGAAAATGCGAGTTGACTGAGTATGGAGGTGAGCGTGTGCTGCTTGCCACAGGAATTGCCAGGAGGAGGCATCTTGCTCAGTGCATGTGCGGGATGAGGAGCTGCCTTTCAAACTAAGCAGATTTGTAGCGATGATGAATGGGGAGGAATCCCTCCGGGGAAAGGAAGGAGCTTCCTAGAAGCCCAACTCCCTGTATCAGTCTTTTTGCTCTGAAAACCAGCAATTAAATACCTCTATAAAGCAACCGGGTTTGTGCTGGAGAGCTTTTCTCTGCAGAGAGGGATGGAGGCTACCTGGGGTCTCATCCCACAGCTTCGGGGCCTCAGGCAACGAAAGCTCACCCCAGCGCCAGCGCTGTTTTTTGGCCTGTGCTAAAACCATATGCTCTGACCCTTTTGGCAGATGAAGTATTTGTTTAAAGCCCCAAATGACTGCCTGAAGGAGCGATCATTGGATAATGGGGTCTTGCTCTGCAATTTGTCTGAGCATGGGGGATGTGTCACTTTAAACCAGAGCAGTTGTGGCCTCTCCTAAGTGATATTCTGGAGGGAATTTTTGCTGTCTTGCCATGCAGGACCTCTGGATGCCAGGTTCTCTGGCCATGATTCTTGCTGCTTTGGGCACATTCCCTGAAAGCAACCACTGAGGGTGACTGACATAATAAATATGAATCTGTGCATCTGCACCACAAGGGTTTTTTTCTCTATATGTATAATGTAAGCACTATTCACAAATAATTTCTATAGCAAATGAATTTTAAGTAGAAAAGCAGCTCCTTTCTGTAAATCTGCAACTAACTAGCAATGTGTGTATGTTGGTGTATTTTTTTTACTTTTTTTTCCCCTCTTTTTTTTTTAATGTCAGCAAAACTAAAACTCACTAGGTAATACATTTGTTCTACAAAGGAATTGTGGTTTTAGTCTTCCAAGAACTAATACTGTATGTGCTGAGAGCTGGGTCATTCTGAGTCTGCAGAACTCAGCAGGACTTTGCCGACTCCCACAGTAGCTGACAATTCAGCCCTCCAATGTGGCTAATAAACTACCTCAGAAAAAGGCTAAATACAATATGGTAAGAGATCTTTATTAAAAATTTTGTACATCACAGGATTAACTACATTTTAAACAGGAAAATAAGATTTTACATATTACAAAAGATGTTATTAGTTCTTGATTTAGAAATAAATTTTATGAACACTGTACATGATACGTCTGAGTTGTAAGAGCAGGAATAGAACTGAGTGCCTGAAAATGATATAACTTAATAAGCAAATGCACTCAATTCATAGTATACAACATAATATTTCTGGAAAAATAGCACATTAACTTCTGTCTGAAAATGCCGTATCCCTCTAATCAGTAACTACCAGCAGTGTTCTCGGGAGAAAGCAGAGACATGTGCCCTGTGTAGTGATTTTTCATTTGGAATTTCTTTCACTGTTGGAGAAATTTTCTTCCTATAGACTATTCTTCTTAGAGAGAGCACGATGTTGTTCTGTAGTACGGTAACACAATCTGCATCTGAAAACTCAATGTGAAATATTTCTCACAGCGTAACTTTACCTCCAACCCAGATTAGAAAAACCAACTGATAGCACATAAATGTCTACAGAAATAGATATTTTTTTATTGACTGTTATCTTTTTTTATAAAGTAGTTAAAAAGGAGAAATATATTTCAGCTTATCAGATAACCATTACTTCGTGTATCATTCATACTATATAATTTTTTTCTTTTTGAGATTGTCAGTGTAGCTGCATTAGAATTTAAAATAATGACAACACAGAAGATCACCTTTTAATTGCATGACCTATTTTGCTAGAGTGTGTGAAGTTTTACAGAATACTATGAACATACAGTTCTCATACAAAAGCATAGCATGTATCTATTCCAAGAAAAGTAATAAAAAAGATTTAAATCTTTATACAGAAAGTGACAATGCCCATATTATACTATGGAACACATCTACTAATTTTGAATTACAGGTGTAATGTGTGTATTAAAGATATCAATTTACTAAACAAATCTTAAAAAAAAAAAGGAGAGCAAAATCTATAAATAAAATAGTAAGTGCTTTCTTTAAGATAATATTCTTTGGCTGCTTTAAGTGCCAGTGAAGGGTTATTGAAAACCACTAAAATGCGTAAGGTCCCACTATTATTGTTAATCTTAACACCGAGCTTGTACGATAATTCAAACTGTTGACTGTTAGCATCTCCAGATCCACAATGTGTTCTCTTGGTCCCGATAGTGATTTCACCAGTACAAGCATTGCACTTACAGCGCTTGTTTGCTGAAAGAACAACAACAAAGAAGTTTAATTCGGACAAATCTCAAAACGATTCCCTTGCTGCGTCAAGAGAGCGCTTGTGTGTTGCTATGCCATAAAAATGCTCTGTCTCAGCACGGAGATACACAATGCAAGTATTCTTTTAACATTTTTAAATGGCCATGACTAATCTCACACCTGGATTTGCTGCAGGGAAAGCTTTACCTGACTAGGGCTCAGAGGAATAAACTGCGCTGCAAAATCTGTTCCTGGTTATGCTGACTCTCCTAAAGGACATGAGAAGTGGTAATCTATCCCAGGATGGTCTTTGTTTTTATCCCCATCTATCAGCTTTTAAAATATAGAGAGAATAAGTAAAACAAGAGAGCACTAATGTCTTTAACAGTGATGGAGCTTGTTCAGCTCAGGGAAACATGAAGTCCACGTCACAGCTCGTACGCCAGAAGCCACGCTCCCCTTGTGAACACTGGCAATTTTTGCAGCTGGGGTGCCTATTGCCATCACCAGCTCTTTTCCCACTTTGGGATCGTGCTGCCAGGGAACACTGCCAGGCCTTGTCTGTGGCACGCTGCTGGCTTGTGAAACACCTTTGTGAGTTACATGTGATACTAAAAAGGTAAACTCCACCTCTCCCTTCACTTTCTACAAGTATTTTCTCTCCGCGTCAAAGGAGTAGGACACACAGATGAGTACAATCCATCTGCTGTATCTGAGACCCAGCTGAGAGGTTTGCTAAAACAATAGGAATAACTTCTAAATAAGCCTTTGTTTACTGCAGTCCCTTGACAGGAATAAACATATGCTTCCTTGTTTAAAGTCTGCAATTCCTTATTGGGTGGCAACACAGGACTGGAATTGTTAGGCTAGATCTAACCCAAACTAGAGCTGGACTGATCTTTTAAGCAAGTAACAGTTTGTATTTTGGGGGTGGGTATGGATTTTTAATGGGTAATAAATCCAGGAAAAATCACTGGATTGGAAGTTATACCAGAACAAGTCGGCACAGATGAGTAGCTCCTTGTTTCTGTCTTGGGGAAACATGGTGTAAATAGGCAGTGCTGTATCATAGTACACCTTGTGGATGTATTATCAACCCCCCCCAATCTTCAGAGCTGAAGAAAAGTAAACAAAAAAAGGAAAACCTTCTAATTAATTCTGATTTAATTTTTTTGTGCTGATTCTTCTTTACCAAGTGTAAAGCCGCATGTGAGGCAAAAGGATTTCCCAGGAATTTGTAAATATTATAAGCATCCAAGAAAATCAGATTTCTTCCCCCCAAAAATCTTAAAAAGCAGATGTTATAGGCACTTTCATTCATATGTATCTACTTGAATGCATTATACCAACAGGAAATACTGCTATTGTAAGTCATTTGAACTTTTGTGGTTTTCTGAAATAGCTGCAGCACTATGGGAAAATAAAGGTTTAAGTTTGTCCTAACACAAAACCTCTGTACTGAGTTCAGCACTCCAGAAATCAGTGGCCCAGCCCAGGCTGTTATTGATTTCTTCACTTTTTTTGCAAGAAGGAGAAATTTAACTAAAGTGATTGTACAAGGCATCTTTCTGTAGACCTCTCCTAAATACATATATATGGGACATTGGTGCAGCGAGTGAAAAGCATAAAAGGATCTCGTTTGAATCTGCCATGAGTGTCACAGCATCGCTAAATATTCACAGTTGCTCCTTGTGTTGTATTCATTTGAAAGAAGCAGTTTGATTCTCAGATTAGAGTTTTTGGGTAGAAAAGTAAAAAGCTTTTTAAAATTTGGAAACCAAGCGCATTTAATATGGAACTATTAAAAAGCTGATAAACTTTGGGATACTATGATACATTTTGCCCAAGCCATGTAAAAGTATTTGTGCCCCATGCTGGGTCCAACCCCCACCAATACTCACTCTCAGGTAAAATTCTCCGTTTTCGTTTCCAGACTTGATCCGGAATGTGTTAATAGTATTTGGGTAAATAGTAGTTGCCTGAATCTGGAAAATATCGGAGGGCACTGTTCTGTCCGAGCGGATGCTCATGTATTTGTACACGACAGAGTAAGGCAGCTCTCGGCAAATGGCATTTGATACAGGGCAGACACAGCGGCTGAAGAACAAGAATGAATGAGACCGAGTTACAAACAAATGGTACTTGCCCGCTGTTGTACTGGAGCACGTTGCCCTCGAGGTCGATCCTAAAAAAACCCCACAAAATAAAACTGATTTTTCTTACTTCTCAGATGTCAGGACATAGGGCTCTTGGCAAGGATTTCTTGGGTAACAACGAAATCCTCCATGGTAATTCCAGCAAATTTCATCCTCTCTGCATTCATTAGTAGTCTCGCACTCATTTATATCTAGGAGGAAGGAAAAGGGACTGTGTCAAAGCAGATGGAAATGAATTTGCTCCAAAAAGAAACATAATGTCTTCAAAACAACAAAAAAGCCACCTGCTTGTCTGTTGAAAACCAACAGGTTTCCATGTTCCTTACCTGCTTTTCTGGGGCCTGGCTATAAAGGCTTTCTCTAGGTAGAAAATGGAATAAATTTGTTTATTGAGAGTTAAATCTGAAGATTTTTTTTTTAGTTGACTAAAGACACACATAAATCACATGTAATGCAGCTGTAGAAATACTGTGAAGTTTCTTATTAGCAAAGAATGATTTTATAGCAGAAAGAATTGTGATTTCCGGTCTTTTGCGCGATCTCATTTTTAATTGCCTGAGTTTTGTGGTCTAACTAAAATGCTTAGCTGATGGCTACATTTTAACTAAAAGAGCTTTGAAAGCAATAGTGAAAACTTGTTTACTGTGCAAAGCAGAACTTCCTTTTTTTTGCCTGGGAAAATAACCCTGCCTGAAGTGGGGACAGTCAGACTCGCACTGCATTAATGTTCTGCTATCCTGTTGGTGCCAGAACTGCACTACTGCCTACTGACACGGTCTCCTCAAATTCACTGTCACGGAGAGAGTTTATTGAAATGTGATCTCTCAAAAGGCACAAACTGATTTTCAGATGGTCAAGCTAACTATCCCGCAATGTTCCGTATCAGCTGCTGCTCTTATGGGAAAGAAATTAATCTGGATTTTATAAAAAACATTGAGTTATTTCCTCATCCCTTCTGTCAATAATTAGCACACCTAATTATTTCTAAAAATAAGGACTGTTAAATAACGTTCTGGATTACAGGAGCAGTGGTTCTTGCACTTAATATGTTGTTCTGCATTATTCTCTAATAAGATGCAGAGACATTTAGCACCAGTGAAGAAAAAACACAAACTAAAATTCTGGCATTCAGTGGCACCTGACCAGAACATCTATTTTTCTAAACACAAATTATCTAAGCTGCTTGAGTCTTTCATTTTTTCTCCTGTTATCAGAAGAGACATATCTTTCATTTCTACTGGATTTAGGAATCCCTAAAATGAAACACGATATAACCCCATGTTTAGTGTCTGTAAAGAATGGCCTGATTTTTTTCAGACATTTATCTTAAACTTAGACTCACTACCTGGACATTCAAGACAAGCTTTACATGTCCTAGGAATCTGAAGGACATACAAGTTTGAGCTGGAGTATTCGAATCAGAGTTAATAGAAGGCATGCAATTAATCTTCAACTGCTTTATCAACACATCTTTTGCTAAGGTACTAACCTTTTTATGAAATATAAACATTTAGATAGCAAGCATTCTTAATCTCGCCTGAAATGGGGGTGTTAATAATGCAGTATTGCAGCTGCGAAGCTGAGAGCACTTACCTTGACATGTTCTGCCTCCCACTACCTGGTATCCTTCAGGGCAGACACATGAGAACTTTCCTGGTTCGTTGACACACTGATATTGACATATATAACTTGAGGTTCTGCATTCATCAGTGTCTGCAGACAGCAAAAGGGCTTAAAGTTATTGTTTTTAAATATATACCTTGTTGTAGAACTCAATCTAATAGCTAAATGCCAATTCTAACAAGAAAAAAATGGATTTGGTCTAAAAAAATGTTATCGAAAAACTGAAATGTACTGTTTAATACCTCAAAGTTGCAAACAGAAGGGCTAATTTTACTTATCAATAATCTTCCAGAATAAAAACTTTGGATTTGAGGAAGCAGAAGCTAAATTAGATTCGGAACAGGCTTAAGAAAGTAATGCTTGAAAGAACTTAAGGCTTTTAGTATTTCAAAATGTGATGACTCCCACGAAAACCACAGATGTGAGGTTAGTTAGTAAGGCAGAAGTAGTGCCTTTGTACTTGTGCCCTGTGCAAACCAAGGGTGAAATGATTTAACAGTATATGCTGTTAAGCAGAAGTTAAATTTAACCTATCAAATCCAGGGGATAGCTTGTAAAACAGGGTAACTCCCTCCTGTGACCTCTGAGGTCTGAGCCCAGTTCTTGATTTTCTGTCAGGGATGTCCTTGGAGGCTGCATATTTGCTGCTCCCTGTTCTGTTCGCCTGCGAGCAGGATTAGTTTACGGAGCTTGGAGAGGAGGGAGCATCTGTAATAGCTCCACTGGCTTGTTTAGGAGGGCAGTGGTAAACCAAAAAAACCTCTTTGGCTCAAAGACTGGTAGAAAGGATATGGGCTTTAAGGGTGAGATCATCATGCGTCCAAAAGGAGATTAGAGGACCCCTGTGGAGGCTCTGGCAGAGGAAATAAAGCATTGATTGTGTAATCATCAGGAGACATGCTGGTTGTATACACAGGCTTGAAAGCCCCTCAAAAGCACAATTGTCGCTTCCTTAAAATCAAAAATTTGAGTTTTTATTGTCAGAGGAGCCTAACAGCACACAAAATTCCACTTGTTTTTGGTTTGCGTTCCTTTCCGATTCATTTAACGGTCATCAGCATTAGACCACACGCAATTCAAGTGAGTTTGTGAAATAAATATTCAGAAGCCTTATTCTTCCCAGCTGTTATCTGAACTGTAGTAATGTCTGCCCTGTTTTGCAATTACTATTAAAGAGAGATACCCCCATCTACAAGTACCTGAATGCAGCTGCAGCTACTAGGGTGTGTATTAGCCACCACATTTGCACCATAAGAAATAATACACATCTTGAGGGTTTTGGCTACAACCTGTGCCCGCAGTGTGGCTCCACTTGAATTACCCCTTAGCTCTCAGAAGGACTTCTGGGAAAATTATTAAGAAAAAAAAAAAAAAAGGCAGATCTTCCAAGGTAACAAAACAATTGCTTACCTTCACAGTTGATTCTGTCACTGCTTAACTCAAAGCCTGGGTTACACTGACAGATGAAAGAACCCAGTATATTGTAACACTGTTGTGCACATGGGTTATTGGCATCGCATTCATTTATGTCTGAAAGGAAAAATTACAGATCTTTATCTCGTGATTAGGCTGATTAAGTGGATTAGTCTTTAGTCTGGGTCTATCACTTAGCAGAAGCTCAGCTGTCTCTGTCAGTCACCGGGACAAAGTCAGACCCATACTTTACTTTCCCTGTAGAACAAGAGTATTTTTTCAGGAATGAAAGCTATTCTAATGTGCGATGAATTCTTCCAAAAATGTTTAGTGTGGCTATTAAACTCCACATTCCAGCATCTTTTTTCAGGTATGAAATGCCAAGTCTCTATAAATAATTGATATAAGGAACACATACTGATAAGATCTCTCAGCATGCAGCAAGCAGTTAAGATTTATTTGAGCTATTTATTACTCTTAAAATTTGTTCTTTTAAATTCCATTACAATTATAACATGAGCCTTTGAGGCCAGGAGAGCTTTGCAGTGCTCTAAAGCCTAGACCATATTGGGTGAAGGTATTTTTCTGCGATAGATTTTTTTCCATGGTGGCCCCATCCTAAGAACGTATGTGAGAACGCTGTGGTATGAGAAGAGAAGTTTGTTTAACTGTAATCACCTCTGGAATCTATAACTCTTGTTTTTCCTGGGCTGTTGACTAACTGCTGCTCCTATGTCATTCACTAGTAGATTTTAGTCTATTTTCTCCAATGTTCCTCCCTTGCATGTTTTCCATTCATATTTGTGTTTATCAGATATAATTATTAGTAGTGCAGGACTTAATCTCGAGTTTGTGTCTTTTGCAAATGCTTATAAGTATCAGCAACACTGAGTCATTTGTAGATACAACTGAAAACTGACAATGATAAGATTCAGCATTCAGAGGATATTAGTTCCCTATAGGGTGAACTTCCTAGTCCTGCACATGAATGGTAATAGGGGAAAACTGATTTTAAAAGTTTTTTTTTTTTCTTTCCTCCTTTTAGTTAATTTCTGGCAACAGCGCAAAGAATGTACATCATGACAATGCTACCAGTAGGGATAAGTGAACTAGCCAGAGTCACAAGTCTCTTTTCCTTCCAAGAAATATTGACCCACTTTCAATATATGCAAAAGTTGTAACACAAATGTAGTCGGTACAGCTGTCAGGTATCACTTCTGCCAGATGACTGTTGCAGATGTGAAATTCTGCCTTGATGTAGCAACCATTAATTTACAAATTTTCTTATATTTAATTCATTTTTCCTGTGAGAGTATGCCAGGGTACTTGATAAGGTATAGTAATGCTTGGAAGTAATAGTAGAAGCTGGAAATCCCAGGCTGGTTTATATATTTATGTGTGTGTATATATATATAAAAATATGTATATAGTATAGATTTCATGGATATATATACGTAAATTGTAGCCATAAAGAACTTCTGACCATCTTTACCAATCTCTTGATTTTTTAAATGGCCATTCTCTCTGTACTTCAGCAGACATAGTTACCTTTTAATTATTACTCTATCTAATTCTTCTAGAAGAGAACTTAGGACTGCAAACTTAACAGCAGTCTTAAAGTTTTACTGCTAGGCTTTCCTTTAGTGTTTTATTTCAAAAGGGAGGATCACTTCTAAGGGGTTGCTCTTCCTTAGTGACCCTTGTTTTCATAGTTAACATTATTTTCTAGATATTCAAATGTGACATTTATAGATGCTTTCTTTCCTTGCTATGTTTATCACGTGTTGAGGGATAATTCCACTTAACTCTGGAGGTAGAGCATTGCTCTTCCTGGTTTCCAGTTCCAGCTTCTGTCTTGCACGAACTGGGGATAATACCATGAAAACCAACGATAATGCAAAGCAATCCACCAGAACTGAAAGAACAATTAAATCTAAGCTTAGATAATGAATATAAACCTCCAGGGTACCTGTTGCCAAACTACATGCTCTTCAGAAAGCTGCCATGCCCACAAAATACCAGGCTTTCAATAAGGCTTCAATTTTCTCTCTAACCCTCCTGCACACCTCAGATCGCTTGGAGGAGAGCCTCTCCATGCAGCAACAGGTGTATGTCTTACTGTTTGGTGTTTACTTTTTTTAAGTTGGGAGGAAGATGCTTAAATTTCAAGTTGTGTGTCAATATTTGTACTGAGTGTGCTTGTGTGTTAAGTCCCTGCAGAGATGTTCTTACCTACACAGGTGTGGTTGTTGGAGGCTAACTGGAAACCGGCATTGCACTGGCAGTAGTAGGAACCGGGCGTGTTGACGCACCGATGGTGGCAGTACGGAGGCAGAGTGCATTCGTCGATGTCTGAGTTAGCAAAAAAGAGAAATGAGTTCAAATGGAAGCACAGGAGTTCACTGCTCTGTGTCCAGAGAACCTGTAAAGTTAATTGCACTCGATTAAAAGCAGGAGGAAACTCACCAAACTTATGTGAGCTAGGTACTGCTTCTGTGGATATTAAAGGGAACACTCCTTATTTTTAATTCAGGTGACTTGTAAAAATCTGGTTTGTGCTGATCTATCTTCCAGCCACTGAGATCAATACAAATTTTACTTGAGTTTTCTATTCAGTTCCAAAATACCACTTGGTGCTGTTGATTTTGTATAGGTAAAGCCCAGAATGCTTTGTTCTGCTTTTCAACCAAGATTTCTCACGACCAGATGTAACGCTGACCTGCACAGTGAATGTGGTTTGTAGCTCCTGTTTTCTCAGAAATTCACATGTGGCACTCTAGGCATGTACTAAATCTTTTCAGCTCCATTAGGAAGTGTCCAAATTTTCTGCACAAGTACAGGGGGAACGTTAAGCAGAAAAGATGAATGGGCTTGAAAAGGCCACAGGTGGTTGTTCTTCTGTGGGGGTCACCCAGAACCTGGTTTGTTCCCTGGAGCAGCATGAGCACCTTCTGGCTGCGTGCTCCAGTACCAAGGCAGGCGATCAGATGGGCTGAGGTTGCTGCTATCTCAGGCAGTATTAACTTCCCGTGGGCTCTCCTTGCAGATCAGCCCTGGGTTTGCGGTGTAGCAGGCTGCCTTTCCAAGTTTCAGCATTCCTGATGTGCACCAGAGCAGAGTTTTCACCTGCCAACCACGCAAAATGTGCAACGGGCCGCTCTTTTACCCCTGCCTTTTTAAAAAGGTGTTCTTGCATTCTGGAGAAGGTACTGCTTCTGTTCTTGTCTGAAAATAATTTTTTTTAATTATGGTGCAGTGCTGACCGTGCATGTATGTGCAGCAGCCGTCTTTAGTTGTGGCCTGCTTGAGCTTGGTGCCGTGTTCTGTACATGTACACAATGTGAGATTTCAAAGGCTCCCCACTCAGACAAATAAGACCAGTTTTCACTGGAACAAAGAGAGGCACTTCCCATATCCATGCCAGATCTTGAGTTTCCTACCTCCAGCTGTTTCCACCATAGATGTGTTTAAAAAGAGGCCAAGACTTTTTTTTTTTTAAATATAATGAGGAAAGTGTTTGTTTTAATATCAAGTGAAAAAATAATCTTTAGATGTTAACCCTTGCTTTGTCAAACTTGCAGCCACTTGTTTGGACCTAAACTTAGCAGTGGAGTGTTTTGGATGGTTCTGAATGAAAAGGCTTACACTGGAAAATCCCTGGCTGTCTGTACAGTAGCAATGGTCGCTAACTTTTGTTGCGGAGAGAAATTTGGAAGTGGAAATGGAATAAATTAGGAGCCACAACAGATCTCATCCATCCTTGACTTTTACAGGACTAAGCTCTTACAAATTGCTGTTTAAAGATCTGATTACACTAGATAGACACACGAGCAATGCCTTGCTGCCGAGGCACTGCATTTATGCACATAAAGGCTTCCGGGATCTTATGCTAATACAGCAGGAGTTTTCCTTGTGGAATTAGACACATCAGCTCCACGCAGATCTAAGGGCTATGCATTATCTAATCAATTGAGCCAAATCTTCTGTTTGAAGTAATGCTGCAAAACAATTCTGTCTGCAGTTCTGTGTTTCAGAAAGACTAATTTTGCAATATGTGAACAAGCAAATAAAAAGTCTCTCTCTCAAAAAAAAGACAGAAATTATTATTGAATTTAGATTAAAATCAATCGATTGCTAAAAACGAGTCCTTCTCTCCTTCTACCTTGAAGCCAACAGTCTGGAAAGATTTCTTTCAAATTTGCGAAACATTTCCTCCCATATGGAGAACCTTTATCAAGATCTGGCCCCAAGAACATTTTCTGGCTAAGCTGTTATAAAATCCCCAAAGACAGGCTTTATTCTGAAACGCTGACAGTATGAAGTGTAGGGATGTACTTATAATTTAGGTCAGTGTGTAATATGTAACACAGGTGTTATTCTTGGTTTTGCCCTAAATAGGAGAGGGGAAATTTCCCTTTCCAGACATCTTTACACATAGATTTAGATGCACAAATGTATTCACTTGTAGGTATACAGGTGCATCATTCTGCTTCTTTTGAGTGCTCTAATGTCTCCTGTAAGACTTTCAGGTAGTACCATAGGGATCGACATTAAAAGTGCTGTTGCATAGCAGTGATATACTTTACCCGCTGTAAAAAATCTAGATAAAATTCAGGTATTTAAAATCAGTGACCTGTCAAAACTATTCCTCTACCCACATTCCAAAGTGCTCATCCTACTCTTGCACAGAGAACTCAGAAAAATCGGATTCATCTGTGTTTATACCAATTTGTCAGTTCAGGGCCTTATCCGCAACTTTTGGGAAAGCGATAAGAATTTTTGGGTTGATTTCTACAGCGCTTGGCTCAGAACACTAAAGAAAGAGCTAATTTAAGTTAGTCTAGGTGTCTACTGAAATTTTCTTAGTTTCCTTCCTGCAGCTCTTGTTAGGCAATTACTACCTATAGCCTTTGCAAGGCTTTTTGAAAGAGATTAAGAAGAAAAAATTCTTGAACACTTTCAAACACAGGATCCCTAACCCAAAGCAAAAGAGTAAAACCTGTAATTCTGTTGTTCCTGTTCTGAGGACAAAAAAAACCCCACAGAAACCAAGTGCTTTTCTTCTAGGCTCCATAAAACCAGTCTTGTATTGTTCAAGATCACCTCTTATATCGCCTCATGATGTATATATTTGATTCTCTCATTCCATAGTTGTTTTTGTTATCTCTGACAAACCTAAGGCTTAAGGCTGGAGTGCCTATAAAAGCAATTAATCCATTGAAATCACAATTAAGGAGATGTTAAATAAAGGCTGAAGGATGGCTGCAGGAACAGAGCAACGGCACTTTTGCATAACATCCCCGAGTGAGGATGGAAAGCTGCAGTGTTTACCCTGCACTTGGATTTAATGTAATGCTTGTATAGGTCCCAAGGGTGCTGGTAGTTTATTTTGGCACAAAGAATAAAGTCTAGTGATATCTAAGTTCCAAATGTCGTATACCTGCATTCAGAGTTTCCATCTCTGTCACTTACACTGTTAAAACTGAGAACTGAGACCGTGCAAGGGGGCTCTGCAGGGCAGGGCTTAGGTCTGTGTGCAGGTGGAGCTTTGTCCTCCAGGTCTGGAGCCGAGCCTCACTGAGCTCCGTGGGAACTCAGGCTTCAGTTTGCTGCTACAGGAGACTTAGGACTGTATCTGGGACATTAGGCAATACCCCAATACAAACAACAAACACAATGGTAAGTATTAGGAAAACTCATCCGGTGAAGTTCAGCTCCAAGTGTTGATTATACTTAAGACAGTTTCTAGTTCTATGGTTTATTGGTTATTACAAGGAAGTGATTATTGCAGTGCACTTCAAGGTTCTGTAGCTATTGTATAGTACGCGTGCCTATGGGCTTTATAATCAATACAAACTTTGCAACTGTAGATAATGAAAGAAAATCATAGAGTATAGAGCAACACTTACCAACACATTGGTCCCCTCGTTTTTGGTAGCCTGGAGGACATTGGCAGCTGAAGGACCCTCTTAAATTAACACATACTTGGTCAGCTCTACAATTATGGGTTCCAGTTGCACATTCATCTATATCTTTATAAAAGAGGCAAATGCAATATTAGTCACACAGTCCACTTAAAAGATTTCGCCTGTTGAAATGCTTTACATATCTTCAAGCTACCTGTAAGTGAAGGCAGCAAAGTTCAAATGTACTACAAAGATGGCATCTCAACATTTACTCCATTTGCAGGACAAAAAATGCTATCAGATCACTACTAGCTTTTAATTCTGATATACTGCATTTCAAAATATTTCCACGTATGGTTATTTCAAACAATAGATACCTTTTTTATGCCAAATACCATTAATATTTTGTACTTAACACTATAAAATCTCCTGTAAACTGCTTGCAACTTTACAGTAATTCAATCATTTGACTTTGGTTTGGATTGTTTTTCCCCCACGCTGGTTGTTTATTGCATGCTGAATTACCCTGGAAAATTTCAGCACATGTAGTTCAGCCCGTTCTCAAGAATGAAATGAGTTAGAAATATGTGGGTTTGCTGATACTAAAAGGACTCTGGTGATCTCTTTTGCGCGGTTCCCGTGCTCCACGCTTTGGCCAGAGACTTGGAACTTGGTACACGGTCGTCCTCTCATCAGGAAGAGATCTGCCTCTTGTCATTCCCATGGAAATTCCCCCTAATTCAGTCAATCTGTTAAAGATTTTGGAAACTGTTTACATATGTTTGTATTTGAACAGCTAAAAAGGCAAATACTAGACTGATACTTTTCAGTGTAATTCAGGCAGCTTTGAGTTCACACTAAATGCAGGTTTATACAAGTGTAAAAAGAACATTTTGATTTTTACCTATTCATTATAACCGCTGGAGGTACTTAATTATAATTAAACTGCATGTGCTGACAAATAGGTTACTTAAAATGGAATTACAGTTTGCTTTCTCATCTGAACATCCAAAATGTTGGAGAGCTTTTTATCGTAACCCGACACAGTACAGTGAAAGGACTTATTAATTTTGGCATTGTACAGAATTTGGAGACTCTAGGCTGAATAAACAAATTCCTTAAAACTTATGATCTCTAGTTTACAAATCTCAGCTGACCTCTCTATTTGTATAGGCACTGGGGATGTTAGAACATCACCAGTGGCAGATTCTGGGTGGTGCTTTGGAAAAAATGATGGATTCTTTCTCACAGCAAATGAAAACAATTTCAACCACAAGATTCAATAAAAAAATAAACCATCAGCAGTTTGAATTAATTCTCCATGTTTGCCCTTTCCCCAAACGTCCAAATATTGTACATATATCTTTTCTTTATCTGACAGGAAAAATAAAGCCCTTTCATGTTAGCCTGCTCTTTGCATTTCTGCACAGTATCAGTGCTAAAGCTGCTGTGGGGATGCCGGGCTTGCCGACCGCATTGTTGTGTGCTGACAGCTGAAAAGCACATTTCTCAGGTGTAAAGACTTTCAGGGGCTGCAGCTGGCTGCCTCGTACCAACCCCACACATCATTAAACGCTCGAGCCAAAGCCCAGTGGAGTTCGGTGCAAGTATTTGCAGGGACTTCACTGGGCTTTGCATGTGCTCCGAGCTTCTACAAAAGTTGGAAATAAAATGGCTCTAATGCTTGTACAGTTCCAACCCTTTTGGTTGCAGAGTGTGCTGGAGCAAAGAGTGTATTTGATCTTTAGGAACTTCATATATGACTAAACACGATCTGCCTTTTAAAATGGATTAGTTAAATGCTTTAAGTCCTTATGTTGTCATTTTCATCCATGGATTGATTTCCATTTAGCTTAATTTCTGTGGAATAATAATCTATTCTAGATAAACCAAAGCAAACTAGTTTGATTTACGTGCTCTGGGTCTTTGATTTTTCCCAGTGTAAGTGCAGTCTGATAGAAAAACAATTATTCAAAAGTAGTTTTTGACTGCTGGCTACCTCCTCATTTGGAAACTCTTGGAGGATCCCATATTATAACCAAAAAAGATCTGTGTTTATAAGAGCAATCTTTTCTTGAGACCTGTTCCAAGGAATCCTTGAGAGCTCTCCTAAAGTCCTTAATTGGGTTAGAATCCTGAACTGGGTTGTACATTAGCTGTGACTATCTGTCCTGTCTGCTCCTACATGCCATGAAAATGTGTATCATTATGTGGCATATTCTCACTGGACTTCAGAAGAGCTTTAATCGATCTGGTTACTCTGCATCATCATGGTACTCTTGGCTATTTTGACTCCGGATGGCTTTTGTTGAGATGTGAATGAAGTATTATTGATGGGAGTTCTTTGAAAACTCCAGTCCTCTCTTTTTGTGGGCTTTACAGAACTGCCTAAGGAGGCAAGTTAAGGTGGACAGGGGAGGAGCCTCTAGCCTTCAAGCCTTCCCTGGGGAAGGGCAGTAGGCTGCCCCGCTTGGGGCAGTTCTGCTCACCTCTGTGCTAAGAAATCAGTAATGTTAGAGGGACGCTGACAGCCTAAAGGTCTTGTGTAAGTGCTTCAAGGAAAATACTGTGGGAGGAGAATGACAGGCAGCTAGAAAGGCTTCAGTGCTGGAACATTCAGTTCTGAAATCTCTACTGTGACAATAATTAGAGATGTCTACTATTTTGACTGACACAAGGGTGAGGAAGTGAGTGGAAGATTTCAGTGCTGAAACCAGTGCCAAACGCAAAATTGTATTGGTGTGACACCAGAAGCAGCCCAGCCCTTGTGGAATATGCAAGGAAGCACTGGCAGATTTGGCAATGCGATGTGGTTGCACAGATCTCTGCATCTTTGCCTTTGAGTGAGGCCCAAAGAGAAGTCTTCAGCTTCTTGGCACTCTGTGTGACCTGAATCATCCTCCATTAGAGAAAGAGGTTTTTTTTCTAACTATCCTGGGAGTTACTGGAGCAATAGAGGAGTGGAAGTCATAGGAAGGAAGCAACACCAGTGTTGGAGGTCTCCTTGGGATGAGGCAGATGAGCTCCTTTTCTCTCTGAGGTGGCGGAAGTAGCGTTACCTCCCTGCACAGACACACACGCACTTCTCTCTCCGGATGAAACAGCATAATCTTAGGTGGACTGACTGGAAACTTGCAGCTTGTCCTCCCAGCTGTGTCCCAGCTGAATGGAAATCGGTAACTCCCAGGTCTTCATTACTAAAACTTCTTTTTCCAGTTTAAATCAGGCTTTTCCAACCCAAGAGATTCCTAGCTTGTTTATGATAATAACTTGTTTATGATAATAACTTTTACTCAGTATGAAATGCAGTAATACAGGGATGAGATGGCAGTCACACAAAGCACGTGCTTTCCCTTAAATCTGACCATCTCGTTCCACTGGATCTTTCTTGACAAAATCCCTGGACTTAAATGAGAGCAGTAAATTAAGATATTGTGAATCCATACTTTTGGTTTCTGCCTGTGGCGGACATCCCCAACCAGAGTGATGTGGTAGCTGTTAAGACCCAGTGATCTGGGGCAAAGGTGTGAGAGAAATTCCTACAGAACATCCCAGAGCTCACCAGCTTTAACCCAAAGAGCAAGATAAATTTGTCTGACCTTTCCTCTCTAGCACAAATGTTTAATAATGTGTGTTACGTGCATGTGTATTTATAATAATTAAAAAAATTAAAACAAGACACTCCACACACTTGTCTCTGGGGAGAGGGTGAGAACAAACATGTGACAGATGTTTGTCATGTTGCTTAATGCACTACTGGAAAGCACTCAAGATACCACAGTGATGAGTGCAGTATAAGAAACAGATCTAGAAAGAAAATAATAGGCTTTTACAAGCTTGTTCTTGAGCATCTTTCCTCTGCATCCTCGCTTCCAAATTTAGTGTCATCAAGATAAAGTTTGTTTCTATAAGTGTTTCGGCAACAGATACCATAGCTGAAGCTTCTACCTTAAGTAAGTATCTTGTAAGCTCTACCTGAGAACACCCTCAGCATTCCTCATCAGCTTAGCTTAAATTTTGTGTCTAGATCTAGTTACATATATATTTGTTCACCCAGGTACGCAAGGTGAATTACACTGGTAACCAGTAATGAAAATTATCTTTGCCTTTAATATTACCCTTTCTTCTTGGTATTTTCTAATCTCAGCTAACATTTTAAAAGCTACTGCTTTTCACTACAGATCATACAAACTTGCAGCTCTTGTGTAAGTTCTTAAGCAGCCTGAATGGCATTATTGATCATGCAACATGTGAAATGTAGATTAATTCTTAAACGCTCTGTATCTCTGAGTCTGATCTAAGATGTTGCTTGGATTTTTATTCCCAGATAGTTATTCTCTGGACAGTTACAGCTTTGTAGTTACAACATTTCCTTTGAAATAGCCTGAGTGTCTTTTTGCAGATGGCTCTTGAAAATGGAATTGTGTTATCTTCAGTGTCTCAATCATTGTAATAGCTGAACTCAGGTAATTATGTAGTCTTTTATTAGGCCATCAAAAGCAAACTTACCATGGTATTTATTGGTATTTTAAACAGTTACCAAAATGTAACAAAATTCGCAAAATGTGTTTGGGCTGAGTACTTTAATTTCACTATGTTCTTTATAGGTGCTACATCCAGGAGCCCACACTGAAACATGTGACAGTTTCACAGTCAAGTACTCGGAGGATTGCAAAGCACAGAACTGAGGTTCTCTGAACAGGCTGAATTCAGATCCTGATCATGATATGAATCTCATTCTATTTTTCCTGCAGGCTAGTGCTTGGTCACTCCTACCATTCCCCAAATGGGTTAGGTGGTATGGTCCTCTGCCAGGCTGCAGCGATTACTGCTCTGTAAAAACCTTAACTTGATGTGAAGAGTCAGAGTCAGTAGAGAAGTGGGGGGAGGAACATTATAAGTAAGGACACTGGTGTCTCGATTAAATCACACATAAGCCACGCTGCTCTTTCAGAAATGCTTATGGAAGTCTTCAGCTCTCCTATGGTAAATATGGCCATCAGACCTCAGTGACCCATCCTAATGTGCAATCTCCAGGGCTATTTGAGAAAGTTCAATTTAAAGACTTTTCTATTCTCTGCAGGTTAAGATGGGGCTCTGATTTGCATAGGCAAATTTGCAGGGTG